ATCGCTTTCATTGAAGTTCCATAAACTGGAAAATAACATTTGAATGAAAAAAAAAAAAGTACAGATGCACTATCACAAAATCTCTGATAAGTATATCAAGAGATTAGAATTATGGGGAAAAAGAATGAAGAAGTGGGATTAAAAAAGTAAACGGGTGCAAAATTTCATTTCTTAAGCATGAATACATGAATGTGTAAAGTGCATTAGCAGCGTTAAAGTCATGTATAAAAGTACCATGGAGCTAACTTGTCAAATTGAAAACAACAGAGGGACAAAACTGACATTCACTCAAAAATGAAAAAAATGAAAAGGAAAAAAGACTCTTCCTCATTTTTAACTAGCGCAAGAAAGAGACTCACCCGTTCATATGTTTCATCCAAAATAATTGCCCCTGTTACCGGAACACGAACCTTGTAATCAGTGAAATCCTTAAATATATCATCTAAATGCACAACATAAGGCCTTAAAACATCGCAGCTGTTGAACACTGGAACAAGTTAACGAAACAGAGGATATTGATGAAATTGAGAAACAAGAAAACAGACAATACTCATAGCATGGAATAACCAAAAGTACAGAAAGTGCCATAAAGATGTCTTCTAAAAGTAAATAAAAAATCAAGTTAAAAAGGATCTAAACTTATACTGCACTTAATAGTATAAAGTCTAATCTTCAATTTGGAGAGCAAAAAATGATAAAGTCAGAGGTCATCCTCTTCAGAGTCAAAGGTTAGCTCCAACTCCCTGTTGAAAAACAGAGTGTCTCCTTTTCCCAATGGTACAGGTTCTAAGAAATAGAAGCCCAAACTTTGCAATCACAAGACCAAAACCAGATATCTGTATCAACTTATATGCCTTTTTTTCTTTTTTCCTAGAAGAAACAATTTGATTCTTACGATGAACAAACTTCATACTATTTATTTACAACAACAAAGTAAAAGTCAGCATCCAAGCAAATAACTGCAAGGTCTTAGATAAGAAAAAACATTTCAGAAAATCAAGCAGAGTGCAAATCAAATAACCATGACCAATAGAAATAATTGCCAGACAAAAATGGGACAAAATCCCCATCTTTGAACTTTAAGAATAGTGTAAATGAACCTTGGACTTCTTATCACTTAAATGTTTAATCATTAATCACATTAGAAAATGCCCATAAAAATGTAGTTACAAAACTGGCATCAACTTGATGAGTGACTAGGGCCTAGATGTTTTCATAAACCAAGCTGTGAGATAGGATGATTCCAAACATTTTTTTTTTAAAATTTTGAATCAATATTTTAATGTAAAAAGCTATGATAATTGTAGATAAAAAGGGGTTTGAACAATTAAAAACGAAGAAAATTATCATCAAGCTGAAATCAAGAGTGAATATTTGACAAATCAGCCAACAGGCTATTGATAGAAATATATCACAATGATAAAGATGCATCAGATACAGGATACACAAAGAGGTGAACTCCTTCAGATTCAATGACTTCAGTGATGGATTTTTTTCCACTGTATTGTCCTCAGTAGAACCAATGTGCATGACTCCACAAGGAAGAGAATTCTCTCAAAATGACTGCTGGTCCTCTTTTGAGCAGCATTAAAAACAAACCGACTGCACAACAATTATTAGTATAGCCTTTAAGAAGGACCGGGGGGGGGAAAAATAACAGAAATAAGGCAATGACATGAAATTTTTTGAGAAGAGAAGAGATAAGAGAGTTTTGTCATCACATTAATGATTTAAGGCTATAACTATTTGAGTGAAAATTCAAAAAAAATGGAATAGCATATCAAAGACCATCTGCCAACTAATTATGATCTAATCAGTTGAAACTAAAATTAGTTTTAGAATTGCAACAATTTCTTCATTGTATTCCTGGTTGATGAAATGCCAATGTGAAAAAATGCCAATCAACTTGTAAAGAATTATTAAGGAGAAAATTTCGAATGTGTGATAATTGGCTGGCTGATACCTAAAAACATGATTCTTGAGCTTAAACCTTACACTTGATTGATTAACCCAAAATATAGCTACAATATCTACAACTAATATTACAAAGGGTAAAACTTCCTTAACACCATACTTATAATGCGATTAACAACTCCCCGGTCCCCACTAACGCTATGTTTGGATAAATATTAATAAAGGAAAGGAAAAAAAAGGAAAAGAAAAGAAAGTTTTTTAAAGGAAAGGAAAGGATATATGTAGCCCTTGTTTGGATAATTAAAATTAATAAAGGAAAAGAAAGGAAAGGAAAGGAAAGGAAAGGAAAGGAATTCCAACAACCATTGTTTGGATAAAGAGTGAAAAAGAAAGAAATGATTCATTATAATAATTTTTTCCAATTATAACCTTTCATTGCCTGTGATTTTAGAGCATTCCTGGACCATAATATATTTTCTATCTTATCTAGCCTCACAATTGTTGCTATATCAAAGGTTTTTAATCAAGTGCAACAAGAAGATGTTTTACAAATATGCATTGATGAATTTTGAGTTAGTCTGACATCTCATAAACCCAAAAAAAATATCTATTTATATTCAATCATTCATCAAAATCAAATCACCAAAAAATTATAAAAAATTTTTATATTGGAAGATATATATGAAACTTAATTGAAAAAAGAGATTGCTTTGAAAAAATTTACAGAATGATTATCATCTGCTTAGGTTTTTTTGATTAGGTTTTTAGTATTAATAAAAAGATGGATATAATAGTCTTTTTATAAAAAAAAATTTCAACTTTCTTTTCCCTAGCTTTTTCTCCAAATAGGAGTATTAAAAAAATTGGGTTTATAAGCGAAACCAAAGGTTATTTGGTTTCCAGCTCTTTTCCTTTCTTTAAATTAAATATTTATCCAAACAAGGGAAGGGGGGTTTTGTTTCCTTTACTTTACTTTCCTTTCCTTCCTCTCCCCTCAATCCAAACACACTGTAAATTTTAATTTACATAATTATACACACACCACACCATTAATCTCACTAACAATCTTCAATAAACATCAACATCAATCTAGAAACAATAAAAAGAATCATCGCAACTGCACAATAAGTGGCCTAGCAATAATAAATCATGATCTAAACATCATAGGGGTCTAACCACCATGCTTCTTCAATTGGTCAGTGCAAACAAATTACACAACATGTTCAACAGATATTACAAATGATCATGCTCCCATATCTCCACACTTTTCTCACAAGTTCAAAAGCAATGCAATTAAGAGTTCCCCATAGAAATGTGCAATATATAACTAAGTTGAATTGTATGATAACCTCCATGTCGCGCCACTGATCACACTAAAAATCTTTAAAAAACACTCACATCATTTTCAATCAAGCAATATCGGAAATCATGAGCTAATAAGCCAAAGCTCCTTTTTTAACTAACTTGACAATCATGCAACTGAATTCAGTTACTTATTCTATAAAAAAAAAACCCTAAAACTAGTCAAAAATAAATAAAATAACCACAAAATAACTGGAATTCCAACATCAAATTCTCGGGAAACAAACAGAAAAGTGAAACCTGCAAAGATCGTCAAGAAGCTCTTGAGGAGGAAGACCGTTCTTCAATGGCGCACTCGAAGATCGATGAAGACCAGACATAGCTTTTTCTGGTAAAAAAAAAAAAACTTAAAACTAAAACCCTACCCCTAACTTTTTTTAGAGAAAGATCCAGAAGATTACAGAAGAAGCTTCTATTTTGTTACTAATTTTCTTTTCTTTTTCTATTTGATCGGAAAACTGAGATGGAAAGAGAGAACAAGAGAGGTCCCGCCTGCCGGGATCTCTCGAGGGATGTTGGTGACCCAAAAAAGAAACGTTTCTCCGCCTGCCTGGAAATGAGCTCATTTTATGTGGATTTTGGGATTTTATAGTACCCGGGATTTGACCTAAACGAACCGGGTTTGAAGTTGAACAGGATTTCATGGGCTGGCCCATGGATGGCTGATTAATATTCCCATTTTCTAACTCTTCCATTCTATGTGCTGCTACTAATGATTATTCCGTATTCATCTATCCAATTCACCTTTGACCATTAGCCAAGAACAAAAAATGCAAATCTTCTATTTCAAAATTTAATGATTTAGCATTAATTAAAAATAAAATAATAAAAATATAAAAATATTTCATAAATTAAAAAATAGATCTCACATTTAAATTCATTTTATATTTTTTAAAAAAATTTTCATGTTTCAAAATATATTTTTAAAAAAAGCCATTTATATCATTTTCAAATACTCATTACCAACTTACAAACATAAACATTCCATAAATCTTAAATCATAATCCCTAAACCCTAAATCCAAATTTTTTTTAATTGAATTTAATTTTTCTCTTATCTTTTTATTTTATGTATTTTTTTTATAATTAAAAAAATTAAAGACTAGTATTTTTTTAGTATTTATGTGTTTTGAATACGCTGACGCTGAGATATTAAATTATACGGTCCTGCCATGAAATAAAGAAAAGCATGCACCCAGTCCGAATCTTCTGCTTTCGCTGGACTTAAGCTTCCGAACAAAGCTCTGCTTTTCTGCATCAAATCTCCGCTGTAAGTCTCCTTTCTCTCTTTTCTCTCTCATAAAGATCTCCTTTTTTTTTTGCATCAAGTTTTTTTTTAACCCACTTCAGATTACTTCTTTTTAATAAAGTTTCTCCCTTTTTTTTTAGCTTTTAAATTGGCCATATATTCATGTAATTTTTATAGTTTCGTTGACTTGAGGTTGCTATATATACTATATATATATTTTTAAAATTTAATTCAATTTATCAGTAAATATCCATTTCTTTTATGTTTGTTTATGGCTTTTTGAAAATTGAAAGTAATGATCCATGGACTTGAATTCATGGAAATTTTCAAAATTTTGTTCAGGATGAATGAGAATATATTAATATCACCTTGTGTGATATTAGTTTTGGCACCATGTCAAGATTCCGTGTTAATTTTCATGAACTCGAGTCCATGAAATCATTAGTAATGAATAGTTAGGAGCCTGGTGGATTGTGATGTTTATATGACCTTGGGGTGATATTAGTTCTGGTTTCATGTCAAGATTCGTGATAATTTTCAAGGACTCGAGTCCTTGAAATCTTTACTCGTGAATTAGTTAGTAACCTGTTGATGTCCCAAGTTTAGGAAAAGGTATATTGTTTGCAACCAATCTTTTGGTCATATTTTGAGCAGATTTATTGGTTAAAAAATGCGAAAGCGGTCTCAAAGTTCATCAATTTCACCTAACACATCGGCCAACGAATCAAGTGATACCTTGCAAACCAATGAGGAAGCCAAATTTAATAACATTATTCAGATAAAAAGGGCAAGGAGGTCAGGATTTGTATGGCTGACATTGTTTGCGGTGATTATATACTCTTCTTGGACTGTTCACCACTACCAGTTTGAGAGTTTGCCTGTGCCCCTTACTGCTGACCAAGCTGGCAAAAGGGGTTTCTCAGAGGTGGAGGCAATGAAGCATGTTAAAGCTCTGACTGAATTGGGCCCTCATCCTGTTGGTTCTGATGCTCTCGATCTTGCTCTGGCAGGTTGGGTCCATTAAATCATTTTAATCAGATTTTTGGCTGATTATAATTGTGTTTGTTGTCCTGAATCATGATTATATTCTATTCTCTTTTCATTGTTATTGGATTCTTTTGACACGGTTAGGAAAAAAAAGGGAAGAATCTCAATTTTGGTTTTGATTAGAATATTTCAGTCGTTTGAATAAGATGTAGCTCAGGTCCTTTTTCTATGAATACCTGTGATGTTGACAAAAATTAACCGGTTGGCATTGTGGTGTTGATGGTATATCTTGCCTTAAAAATGTTCGTTTTTAGAGGGGTGACTTGCAGTTTTATGATTGAAGAATATCCTTATTTTATGATTTAAGCTGCAAGGCTTGTTTTAAGTCTTCAGTCCGTCATGCATCTTCGTTGATCTATATGTTAGATTACATTGGCTATTCTAGTGATCCATTTCTTGTGCAATCATGTTTTAGAGATAACTGAATATGCTTTCAACACAGTATGTTTTGCAGCATCAGGAAAAATTAAAAAAACAGCTCACTGGGAGGTTGATGTTGAAGTGGACTTTTTCCATGTTAATTCTGGTGCAAGTCGTCTGGTCAGCGGCATGTTTGTGGGGAGAACACTTGTCTATTCTGATCTGAATCACATCATATTAAGAATCTTGCCAAAATATGTACCTGAAGCAGGAGAAAGTGCTATTTTGATTTCTTCCCACATTGATACTGTTTTCTCAACGTATGATTTCTTCCTTCTCTGTTAATCTATTCCATGTTGGTTCAAATAAGTTTCTTTTCTGACCAAAATGTGTAATACTTTGTGTATGACACGTTGTAGATGTTGCTTTCATTTGAATTCAGCTAAGTCTAATGGTCTTAACAGTAATTTCTTCTT